TTTTAATTTATATTTTTTCGTGGAATTGGGTTTCGCTTTATATACGCTATGTAGACAATAGGTCCATCAATATTAAACATTACAAATGTTACGGTTACAGTTCAAATGTTCTTATCAAGATCTCGATCCCTCAAAATAAAAAAGAAATGTTCTCGGACTACACAGATTGTGCAATGCTTCTGGACTTCTTAAAATAATCTAGCGAGCTGCTCAAATATATTGATCCTTGAACTTCACAGATTGTGTGATGGAAAATACTCCATCTTTTTCCAATACCTCAAATAAGATGAATTTTGCTAGTCTGATTGCGTAAAGTATGACGATCTCCATGTCTAACAACCTTTCGTGGTTATATTTCTCATACTGTCGTCAAAAAAAAGATGATATCCAAAGAGGAATCAGTAAATTATTTTGTTGAATTATTAACAGACATAAATGAAATGGGGATTATACACACCAACTTATCGGCTTCTTCCGATTTCCCGCCGATGTAGCGAAGCATTGCCCACATTACATAAAACCCGCTTTCATTGTTTCCCGCCGGCTGATTTAGGTACTTCCCCTCCATTTTGACAACCTTGAATGGGACCTGCATCCCACCGATATGTCTTCTTCGGACACTAAACAACATTAAAAGGAGAAACGTTAGAAAGCGGTATGTGTGATTAGAAAATAATATGTTATTAGGATCGCTTACTAATTCAGCACTGCCACCGGTGCATCCAGATGATGAAATGGTTTTTTCTTCGAGTCCCACACCTCAATCAGATTTTTGGCAAGATTAACACAAATGAAGACGAAATGGTTGCTACAATCACATAATCCTAATTATCGAATAATCTTAACGAAAAAAGCATAAAATTAAAAGCCAAGAACACATACTCGCAGTTGTAGGCTAGAAGTATGTGAGTTTTGTTCTTCATCTTGAATTCGTCAAAAACAGCAATCAATCTCTGTTTTAGGTCTTCCACGTCACATCCATGGAGGCCTAGACATGTCTTCTCATTGACTCGAAAGGGGTCCAAGAAGCCTATGTTATCTCATTTGCTTTTTAGAATGCAAAATTTTGCTATACACCTACATAAAATCATTGGAAGTGCTCAAAAGTTAACAATTTGTGTCCCAAGAGATTAGTTAATTGTAATATCATGCGTGTAGGGTACTTACATAGTCCACAGCGTCAACATTTGTGTATCAAGAGAGCATTTCTGGTATAGCTGGAACAAGCACTCCCACTCGACATCGAACTTCTCTTCTTCAGGATAATGAAAAATATGTGGCGAACGGATAATAACCTCAAAACCAAAGTACTCCGTCTTTGTTGTTTGAGCCATGTAATATTCATGCAACTGGCGCATATATGTTGTCAAATTTTTATACTCGTGATCAGGAACCAAAAGATTGCTCCTTTCCTACTTCATTACCGGTGTTCCCGTCCCTTGTACATCATAATAGATGTTCGCGGTCTCTTCCATGGTTAATTCAGGGTTGTCTTCGATGTACTTTTGTATCTTCCTTAAATCTTCATTGTGTACTTCTTCGATTCTTGTTGTAGCGTACTGATTCTGTGTTTGCCTTTCAAATTTGGACTTCAACAAAAACAGAGGCAGTGAGGCACAAAGATTGAAGAAACTAACACAATCACAATCTTCCTTCGAGATGTGTGCTGTAAATTTTTCTTTCATCAAGTTTGTAACGCTGCCACTGAATGACCTTTTTCTTTTTTGTTGGTCCACTTTGGGAGCATTAGCGACCGAATCCAAGGACCTTTTCTGCGACTATGAGGATGCCTTTGATCTTGTTTTGGGCTAAGATGGAGGATGACGACGAGAATTCTATTTTCCTGGGGCTGATGAAGATGGAGGAGGAGGAGGAGGAGTCTTCTCTTTTCTTGGGGTTGATGAAGATGGAGTCGGTCGAGGAGGAATAGAAGGAGACCTCTGTCTTCTCGGGGGTGATGGCAAGGGATGAGGAGGGGAGTGATCTTTGTTGGGAGATGGTGAGTGATCATCGTGGGTGGATGAAGACTCATAGTCGTCCTCATCATCAGAGGACAATTGGTGGTCAAGCTTAATGAAGCGCTTGCGCCAGGCCACTTGAGAGCCCTTGTTATGACCAAGTTTCGGCCTATCTTTCGCTATGGGCTACTCAATGTGTATCTTGTTATACTTCTTATCAAGTATTCTATCAATGGTGACGCGAGCCTACCCCTCAGGGAATTGGGCGACCATTAATGGTCCCGCCTCCCGTAGGGCCAGTGCCCCACTAAGCCACCTTGTCGCTTGTCCATTCCCCGACGGATGTACAACTTGACATTGACGGGTTCAAGATGTCAGCCCACCGATGAGGCACATTCACATCTTCTTCACGAGCGGGTCGATCCGCAACTCCTGCGACCCCTAAACTGTGGGCTAAAGGCGTAGGAGTAGGGTTTTGTGGTACTCCTGACCCCTTGGAGACAACAAAATTTGCTCGCACTCATGCTTCAATAGTCTCTTCAATCCGTAAGGCCAATTCTTTCTTCCATCTATTTCACCACCTCAAATACTCTACCTCCTAATTCGCTTCTACCCTCGAGCGGCTCTATTAAGTGTTAGATTCTTGGGGGAATGCTAGTTTCAAGGAACAACACCGGTTCCTCTAGTGTGACCAGAGTGCTCCTTGCTCCTTGGTTCCGAGTGCTTGGGTGAGCACGCTTTCTCCCTATTAGAAGTGCGAGTCCCTTGCCTCACCTCCTCGCCATCTCAGGAGATCCTCTAGATGAGTTCGCTCATGGTTGATTTGTGGAGCTAAAGCTCCCATCCTCTCAAGGTGGGCGCACATTCCTCCCCCCATATAGTATATTACCGATCTTGGCTCCCAATCGGTGGTCTCAACCTAAATGCCTTCCTCAAAGAAGGCGATCCATCTTTTCAAGTTCTACTTTAAATTCTGGCAACTTTTTGGCGTAGGCACAAGAGCCAAGATGATGAGGATTTGTTGCTTTCTGTGAGTTCTCCTTATTCTTCCTACTTAGTTCTAAGTACTCCTCGGATAACCTGTATTCCTTGAAATCCTACCGTAAGTCCTTTTGGTTGCTAAACCGTCCACCATCAAAATCTAGCTCTTTATTTTGGAGGACAAAATTCTTGTACAATGTCCCCTTGAAATTCTTGAAGCATGCCCCATGATTTCTTTTGCTTTTTCTTGACTAACTCCTTGTCATACTCCATTGGGAAAGTGAAATACTCTAGGATCTTGATATCCCATATGTAATCCTTGTCACTTTCGAGAACCCTCCACGAGTCATCATCTTTCCCAATCCACTTCTCGTACCTAATCGAGATGAAGTCTCTTACAAGTAACCCAAGGATAGTCTTGTATTTGGTCAAAGCTATAGGCGGTGAGAGTGGATCCCCAAATTCATCGAACTCAAAGATGTGCCAAAGTGCATTCCTACCAACAGAATCTTTGACACACCTCGCTTGGATCTCGCCTTCCTGCTACCCGAACCCTCCGCCTCCTCGGCACCGATTTAAGGCTCCTACCGAGACACCAAGTAAGCTATGACCCTCTCAATTGATTAGCGTGTGTGGCTACATAGTCACATGATACCAAAGTTACCCGCCATCTTGGTCATTTTGACCCAGATCGAAGGTGCCGATGGGGTCCATGGTCGCCGTTCTCACCGGCCCCGATTGACACCGCCACCGCTTGTCGGATCATGCGGCTCTCTCGTCCCAAATGATATCAACCGCTTCTTGTTGCCGATCCGTTCTTCAAATATGGGGTAATAAAGCGAGGATGAGTCATGGCTGTGACATGATCATGGTTAGTTTTAGCTACTTGGACAACTACTAATAGCATATGTTCATATTATATATATATAATATGTTTAATGCAAAGTCTAATAATAAGCCCACATACAACAAAGTCAAATAATAGCATATGTTCACCTAGAACAAATTCATTGTTTGATTGACCACATACAACAAAGTCCACCTACTGTTCTACGAATCTAAGACTACATCAACTTCCAAATAAGAAAAGCAATGACCATAGCCATAAATAAAAGCATGATATCTTTCCAAGACCAAGAAGCAATTCTCCTAATCTTCACATCTCCCATGGTGGCTTCTCTTCAATCTCCAATCTGCCGATGGATGGCCATGGTTTGCATTCATTGGACCATAGTAGGTCAAGGTTGCCCATGGTTTGCAAGGTAGGCCGGATGACTATAGTAGGCCCTCAAAGCTTCAAATTTCCGTGGTTGTATTTTTTGTGCAAATTACCAGGGTAACGATTGACTTGAGCGTAGAAATCTTCCCAGGTTCGATAAATCCTAGGCACGTGACCAACATGCACTACATACCATGCCATGGTTGCCTATACATTTAAGTAAATTAGGTTATCATTCAAACATGATGTATTCTTATAAAATTTAATATATTTATGAATAACACACAACCATTGCATAGATAGGAGTGTTTGGAAAATAGCTATTCACATGCCTCAGTAATAGTTACTACAACTTATGATTATATCATCATTGCACATGACTATAGCCTCAGTCCAATTAATATATTAAGTCATCATAACCTTAGTCTAAGTGCATTGAACCCTCTACAATGCATACAAGATAAAGAAAAGTTGTTAGATGTAGGAAAGATATAAAGAATATTTTTTTATTCATTAAAAACCAAATGATGATTTAGAGAACCAGTTTAAGACTTTTGGATATACTCCTAGAGATGTCTCAGAGCCTTTCCTAAATTCACTCTCTAAATTTAAAATAGTGGATGACAATGTTTTTAAAGAATCAATCAAGCTTTTCTATGGTTATATGGAAAAATATAAAAGAACTCTTGGAGTTGCTGGCAATTGCATGCATGCAAGTAAAAAAAATGGGAAGCAATAAAGAGGCAGGAAGTTGCACGGAAAGAGCACCATAGCCTCGGAACAGGTGCTAGAGCGGAACAGCCGGATCCAGTCCATTTCTGTGGCTCTGCCTCCTTGGCTTCATGTCTCTTCGTCTTCAGTCTCACTATAAATCCCCCAACCATCGGCACGAGGTTCTTTCACAAGTATCAGTGCAGGTAAGCATCTTTCCAAATTCCAATCTTCTTTGATAATGATTGTTTCTTCCTACCTGATACTGATCGAACAACCCTCGTTTGCTTGTAGTTAGCCTCAGTCCAATTAACTTTTCTTTATCTTGGCTTTTGCACAAGCTTGAAACTTGAAGTGACTCATAATCGGCTCTAGGAATGAGATTTGTGAAAGGATTTGCATTGAACTGTCACTCGGATGCATGCCGTGGATCAGAGCTTTCACTGCACAAGCAGCTAGAGAACTGTGAAGTCCGATCTACTCGGCTTCTTTATTTCATTCTCATCGATTTCTAGATTAAATGGACAGTGCTAAGAAGTAAGAAGACCCAAATCTTTTAGAAATTGGTTGTAGTTGTACTTGTACCTATCTGGTCCATGCTAAGATGTGCAAGAGGCTGGGAATTGGATAGAATGCAGTATTGCCATGCTATTGTTTTTCCATTTCGTTGGATTAGAAATTAATATGTTCTGGATCCTAGGTGTCGGGAAAATTCCTGAATTGTGACTCATTTACATTATGGTTCACCTAAAGCATTGCATTTCTTCAAGGCTATTGGTGAGTAGTTTGATCAGAGGGGAAATTGGTTGTAGCTGTACCTATCTAGTCCGTGCTAAGGCTAAGCAAGAGGTTGTCGAACAGAGTCATTGATATTTATTGGTTAACAATTTCCACAATTTGGTTATGTGTTCAGGCGCATGGAGATAAGAAGGGTGGAACCCCACAGGACGGGGTGAAAACGGACAAGGGCAAGATCTTGAAGGTTTCATGGGATGGGAGTGCTGATTCGTACAATGCGGCAAAGTTGGAGGAGCTCTTCCAGAAATTTGGCAAAGTTGAAGACATTGTTATCAAGACAAGGAAATCAAGGAGTAAGGGCTCAACAATTGTAGTAATGGGCTCCAAAGAAGCTGTAGTAAGTCCTATTTCTCTACCCTTTATCATTTGAGTGCATTCCATATTTGACTAAGAATAGTTTGACTTATGTCAGTTACCGGAGCTATGTCTTTTTTGTGTTAGTGATACTTTGATCTGAATCTTACATGGTTGGTAGGGGCAAATATGCATCTCATACTATCCCAGGAAAGTGACATGCAAAAACTCATAATAAGATAGGATTGTTGGAAAATATTCCCAGTTTAATGCACAAGGCTACATAACTATGTATTACTTGTAATCTTGCATAAGTTAATAATTATGCATCTTTATGCTGATAGCATGGAGAATTCCATGACAAGTTTGGAGTGGTTATCCAGAGAGCAAACCAAATTCTAAAAAGTTACCAGGCAACTAGGTTCTTCTTGTTGTACTACATTATTTCTTTCCATGGTTGTGCATATGCTCTTGTTTTTATTTATCTGATCATAGTAGGGACCTCCCCTCTGTTAAATATTTGGGATCATTACTGAATGACATTTCCTGTCTTTGAATTATATTACTTGCATTGTGCAATGACCAATACTTGTTTCTCTTTTTTACAGTTATTAGCAATACAAAACCATTTCTCTCTGTTTCCATTAGCAATACAATTATTAGCATGGAGATTTGTGAAAGGATTTGCATTGAACTATCACTCGGATGCATGCCGTGGATCAGAGCTTTCACTACACAAGCAGCTAGAGAACGGTGGGGCATTTCATCAAACACAAAGACGGCAGTGAGCCACGCACTCACCGTGGGGGGTGGGAAAGCAGCTGTCCGCACGCTCCTGAAGGCCTCGGCGGTGGGAGTGCAGGCTTGGAGGAGGAGGGGCACGGCCGGCATCGTGGACGAGGAACGAGGGCACAGACGGCGCGGTGCTCCGGCGTGGGGCAGTTGACGGCGTGGGGCGGTGCACGGGCGTCGACGTCAAAGAAGAGGAGAGCGGGGCTGGGAATGGCGGCGCGGGGGGGTGGTGGACGGGTGTGCGGGGAACGGTGGTGCCCGTCGGTGCGGGGTGGTGCTCCGACGGCACGGGGGGAGGGGTTGGCGCGGGGTTGAAATGAATTTGAAAGATTTCAACCCGCGCCTTGCTATATACCAATGAGGTTCATCACTGTCGGTTCTAATAATAAACCGACAGTGATAAGGAGCATCACTACCGGGCCATACTTCAAACCGGCAGTGACGGGGCTATACCAGTTAGGGGTTAAGTAGTATAACTTTTCCCTTCCTTTTGAATTCTTCCGACTGACTCAACGGTTAAGACTCCGCAACTTATCCCCCGAGACCCGTGTTCGAGTCTCAGGCGGTCCAAATTTTTTGTTTTAATTTTATAAATTATTAAATGACTTTGGGAAATTATTCATCACTACCGGTTGTAATTCTAAACCAATAGTGATGAGGAAATATCACTGCCGGGTGAATCCTCAAACCGGCAGTGATGTGGGTGTAACAGTAAGGGGTTAAGTAGGATAACTTTTCCATTTCTTTCGAATACCTTCGACTAGGTCAACGGTTAAGACCCCGCAGCTTAGCCTCCGAGACCCATGTTCGAATCCTGGTGGTCCAATTTTTTTGGTTTAATATTATAATTTATTAAGCGGACTAAAGGTAAAAAAAAATTAGCCTTAGCACACATCCTATATTAGCGCAGCGGTTAAGTCTCAGAACTTGCAGCCCGAGACCCGAGCTCGAACCCGATGGCTGGCACAATTTTTTTTAAATTTTTTATATATCACTGTCGGTTTTCAAAATAAACCGACAAAGGATAACCAAAGATCATCGCTGAGTTTTTAATCTCATCACCGCCGATTTTTTCAAACCGATGCTGATGTTTATATATATTAAAAAGTTTCTTTTATATACTGAATAAATAGAAGCATGTGTATTCCTATGTTGAAATGGCTTGAATTTTTTTTTGGCAAACATGTACACCTAAATTAAGACCCCACACAAGATCTTAGGTTTTTAATTAGTTTTTTTATTTATTATATTTTTTTGTGTGCTGAATGAGACAAAAGAGAGTGAATTACATCTTGGACCCAATAGATTTTTTCATCGACCTCCACAAAATTCTTATCCCTCGGGCATATTAGAGCCTATGTAAAAGTTTGGCACCATTCTGGATCTTTTCGTGGGTAGACTCAGTTCAACCTATAATTAAACGGTGTCGTCGCATGGAAATTCAATTAAACCTCAGAAAGTAGCAAACCATTTTCGAAAAATCCCAAACTAGGTGTTTCATTCACACGTGGCACGTGCAAGCCTAAGAAAAATTTTGAGACCAATATGACATCGAAATGCGTATGAATCACAGAAACCTTGATAACCTATGTGTATAGTCATGGTTCAATGAAAGGGCTCATGTACCTCTGTGAAGAATGTATACTCCGCCTATGTCGAAATGGCTTGAAATTTTTTTGGCAAGCATGTACACCCAAATTAAGGCCTGAGGGTTTTCTAATCATTTTTTAGTAATATATTTTTCTGTGTGCTGAATGAGACAAAAGAGGGTGAATTACATCTTGGACCCAATAGATTTTTTCATCGACCTCCACAAAATTCTATCCCTAGGACACATTAGAGCCTGTGTAAAAGTTTGGCACCATTCCGGATCTTTTCGTGGGTAGATTCAGTTCAACCGATTATTAAACGGTGTCGTCGCGTGAAAATTCAATTAAACCTTAGAAAGTAGCAAACCATCTCCGGAAAATCCCAAACTAAGTGTTTCCTTCACACGTGGCACGTGCACGCCTAAGAAAAAGTTTGAGACCAATACAACACCGGAATGTATATTTCTAGTTGCCCAACAAATGTTACACGAATTACATGTATGACAATAATTAAACACACAAAGCCGTACAAATTAAAATTAGAACCCAATTAAATTACGACCTTGAAAACCTAGCTAAATAAACATTAATTACTATCGAAATCGCTGTCGGGTTCGATCGGGCCACGCACACTAACATGCCTCTGTAGCCATATATGGTTATTGATGTCACGGATTATGTATCCGCTTGTATCGATAAAGTCCAATGCCCGTATGAGTGCACTCTCTGGTGCCTTACAATACTGAAAGAATGGTCGACCGTAGATGTAACCTCATCGAACGACCACCGCCTCGTTAGTAATCTTTATACAAGATCGGCATCCTTCTATAGTGAGTCGGGCCGAGGTTTCCATTGCGTAAGTCGCAATCGCATCTTGAAGTTGTTCGTAGCTTGGTCTAGAATGGCCCACAAGCCACATGCAAAGATAGGTAAGGTCCTAGAGCGCAATCGCATGCGAGAAAAGAAAAAATTAGAGAATGTTATTACAATAATAAACAACAAATAACCACGACTCAGGTATAAGTGACCATTTTACCACATCCGCACGGTTGTAGCTCGCAAGCCATTCGCTTGCTTGCGGGACGGGGATATCATCAGCATTCAAAGCAAGTGCCTTGAAGTGCGAGAAATCAAGCACATCATAGGAAACACGTCGAAGTACCTCTAAACAGATACACACGACACTGAATTGGGCACTTATCACGTCCGGACTCTGTCTTCCCGTCTCGTGGATATGGTTCCGATGATTTGCACCCCTCAAAGGGATGGAAAAACTGAGTTCACACGTCCATAGCCGACCACTTGCATTAGATGCCGTGTTCTCGATGATGTCCGAGATAAAGAACCAGCTAAGTGTTGTTCGCAGCCAATCTATTGGGGATATAGTCTACGACATATATGTATGTAACAATGATATTAAACTAATTACACTTATTTGTTAGCATAAAAAATAAAAGATGTTGGAAAATATTTCATACAATAGCTGGAACAGGGAACCGTGGAATGGCCACATTAGGAGCGAATGGCTCATCGCCAGGGTGGAAACCTAGTTCTTGTGGTGGGTGAGTGTGGCAGAACCTCCTAAATTATAGGACCCACATGCACTTGTCACTATCCAATGACCTTTGACATCTATGCATATGTTCCTGGTAACTTAAGAAGACTGTCGGGTGTCCTCGGAGAACCCCAACTCATTCACGATTTCTCGAAAGCAGATCACATTACGAGTCATTGCAAGATACAACAGCTTTATTCAAATAGATATACCAGAGTAAAAACAATGAAGTCTTACAATAACATAGTTTACAAACCATTTGTTTCAAACCATACAACTAAGTTCAAAAATAATACAAACCAAAGTAGTGGAGTGGCATTATATTATATTACAGAACACACAATTAGAGCTGTCATGCCCAAGGACCACACATCTACTTATCATCATCGCAAAGAACAACAGTCATGCAGCACGATCCAAAACAGATCTGCTCATGAGCCTCACCTGCAACAAGGGTCAACGAACCCCAAGTACAAAAGTACTCAACAAGACTTAACCGAAATAAGAATTTAAAAGAACGAAGGAATGCAGGCTCATGGGATTCAAGGTATGGCTTTAGCAATAATCAAGGTTCTTTTGCGTAAAAGCATTTTAACAAAATTCTTTATATCAACATTTAAAACTTCATAAAGATCATATACAAAGCTGACACGATCCACAATGAGATCATGAAACTTCATAACCAACACCTTCACAGACCATTCTCAAGTTCCAGTTATTTATTACTACGATGATGAATAGTGAGTTGAGTCTCCATAATCGAGGAGCAACGACGATTCAAACTGATTAAAACCCAAATGGGAATTCCACCACCACGACATATGCGGTCCCCGACCTACATATACCAACCTACCCTCGGATCCTCTAAAACAAGAATGGGTCCACGCCACCCGAGAATACAAAGACTCCACCATTCTAGCCCATTGCCACGTGGGTACACGGTATTCTCCATCTCTCCACTCCCAAAGGCGAGTAGCCATTCTCGTAATAGAATAGCCAAGTTAAGGCTTACCGGAGTATGTGGTTAGTACTACAAAGTCTCACCTCATGCAATTCAACAACGGACGGACCTTAATCGACACAAAGTGAAAGATCCCGCCACAAGACCTCCATGTCTTGTGGCTCACACACACCGAGTCCGCCCGGTCTAGATTTATTACTCCACATTTCCATATCACATGTTAACATAATTAACCACAGTTCCACTTGAAACTTGTAGGTGACAGGTAATCACCCGACCTTCATCGTTCTAAGCAAAGCTAAGCAAAACTAAGCATATACGAATTTAAAACTAGTAAT